CACCAGCATCACCAGCATCACCAGCATCACCAGCATCAGCATCACCAGCATCACCAGCATCACCAGCATCAGCATCACCAGCATCACCAGCATCACCAGCATCACCAGCATCACCAGCATCACCAGCACCAGCATCACCAGCATCACCAGCATCAGCATCACCAGCATCACCAGCATCACCAGCATCACCAGCATCACCAGCATCATCAAGCATCACTCCGGGGACTGCCTGGCCTCAGAATCCTTCCTAGACGTCTCGAATCAGAATCTACATTTTAACAAGAGGCTGGCACGATGAGTGAGTCCATCAGAACGTAAGAAGGCTCGGTCCAAGCGGACGTCCGAATGCTTTTCCAGGATGCTAGCTGAGCCTGATGCTCACCCTCCTAAGACAACTTCAGGAAGTTTCCAAAAAGGAGCGCTCTTGCCTGCATGAAAGCTAAGTGTCACATTTTAAACCGACTGCAGCAACAGAGCACGAGGTCCTTCTTTCAGTGGCTAGTGCAGGGGACCCGCCACTGTGGATAACAAGCATCTACTCTCATTCTGAACACCAGCCACTGTCGCTGTCACTGTTGTCCCCCTGGGGCCCAGAGAGGGCTGGTGGAGCCCTCATTGAGAACATCTTCTGGGTGCCACTGATGGGGGGATAAATAAGCCACACGTCACTTCCTCGGACGCAGCACACCGCGGGGCTCGGCACTGAGTCCAGACTGACCACTCAGTATTCGTGTCACCTGCCCGAGCCGCTTAAGCAGCCTGAGACGCAGTGGCCCCGCCTGTCAGACGGGAAAGGTACAGACAGGTGTCTGTGCAGGTGTCAAAGGATAGAATGAATGAGAAAACAGGACAGGAATGAATCTTAAGCCATTCTCCCATTTCTTCCCATCCCATCATGGTCTCTGTGCTAGATTATTAAAGGTGAGAAAACATTGTACCGAATTCCCTCCTCCAGAGAGAACATACAAGTCCGGGGATGGGGGAAAGGGGGTACGTAGAAGAAGGAAAGTGGCCTGACCCCACCCATTTTCTTAAAGTGATAGAAACCGAGACGGTGTGTATCAGGAATCCAGACGGCAGGACGGGGTGACCCCTCTGCCCTAACGAAGGTTACAGTCCGTCGCCACCAGCCCCACTCCAGCCACCCTCAAACCCTAGAGAAAACCAACAAACCACCATCGCCTGTTCTCCCCCAAGCACGGTACACGGGAATGACCCAGATATACAGCCGCTTTCTATGTGGGGCAGACCCGTGCTGCAGTCACCTGGACCCCCGTCTGGTGCTGTCTTCAAGACACCTCCGTGGGCCTGCCGAGCGGGCAACCCCTACCTCCCGTAAAACGACCCCTTACCTGGGAATCACCGGTGGATTTTCGGACACTCATGTGGGCAGTCTCGGGAGGGTACGCTGGGGTCCCTGCCACGTGGTATCCATTCACTGTGGGAGAGAAACACTGCTCAGAGGCCACGCCGGCCACATGCGGGTGATACCAAGTGCCTGCAGCCGTGGTCCCTTTGCCCATGTCATGGCCTGCCAGCCTCTGAGAAGTCTCGCCAAGCCAGGTCCATCTCTCCAGGGTTCATGGAGCTGGAGACGGGCCATAAGCATCTCGCTAGCTCCCAGCTTCCAAAAGCGGAACTCTCAGGGGACCGTGTTTCTTTCTGAACCGGATGGACAGATGGACGTGCTTCATAATAGGAAGTGACTGCAGTCCTACAGCCGCCACTGGAAATGCCACATCAGCAGCCACGGGTGCAGATCCAGGGCGGGCTCTTCCCATGGAGTCCGGCGGCCTCTCTGCCCCCTGCCAGCATGTCCCCAGAGGACCCCCCCCACCCTCGCCCTCCATAATACCAGTATAGAGTGGAAAGAACATGGGGTTTACTGATTTCCATGAAATTTGGCTTTGCCAATTAATAGCCAGAGGGGATCATGGGGCATCCCTTTTGAATCTCAGTTTTCCTAAAGTAAAAAAAAAGAAAAGAAAAAGTTCTACCCCAATGACACTCGTGCTCCCAAGGTGTGCTGATCAGCCTGCTCTCTAAGGCGGGGTAGGGGGCCTGGCTTGTAGCTTTTGCCAGTTTCCACGGCGCGTCTCCATCAATGCCAATTCAAAGCTCCCAACAATAGCCCCGCATGTTCTTGATGCCGCAAGTACGCCCTGGGACCCGTGCGATCTTGGTTCCCAGAGCGGGGATGCTGCTCTCTTGCAAACATGGTTACGTGAGTTTAGGGAGCCGTTCCTCCTCCATGAGCCTCAGCTTCCAGATCTGTGAGATGGGGATAATTCTACCCAGCCTCGAAACTTACTCTGTTGGCATGAAAATCAAACCGTGGCAGTACTTGCCAAAGGAGGCTTTGAGTCAGGAAGTAATTCATGAGAAGGAGAGAGGTGTAGACGGAGGGAGGGGAGGTCATCGCTTCTGCTCCTGAATCCCGCTGCCTTGAGCCCTAAGCCTGCATGATCTACAGACACCAGGGAAGCATGCTTTTTGCATGCCAAGGCTTGGAGATTATTGCCACAACATATAGACCGTGCAGATGTCCGGAGAAGATATACAAACTGAGGTTCTTGTTGGGATCGCCTTGTGGTGTGGCAGGAAGCAAGGGGAGAGCTTGGCTGAAAGTCACTGACATCTACTGATTTGCTGGAGGCAAGCAATGGGGTGATGTAGACCACCCCACACAGGACCGCTTTCGTGCTGGGGGTGTCCCCTATTCTCCACTATCTGCAGCAAAAAAAAAAAAAAAATCCAGTGCCCCCTGTGGAGCAGAAACAGACCACTTCTGCAGACCCCTCTGGGTAGCTGGGCATCTCCGTGATTGGGAGGGCTGGCCTGATACTCTGGGAGAAGGGTGCGCACAGACACAGGAAGGCAACAGAAAACCAGGCACGTGGCTGGCTCCCACTGCAACCAAGAAATTAACCCGCGTGGCCAGTCACAGCCCTGGCCTGCACTCAGGTCCCCTGACAGCCGGTTAAATGCCGATGCTCTCCCTGAGCCCCCCTGATGTAAGGGGAGCAGGATGTGGGATCCCAAGAGCATCAGAGAACGTTGAGGGGATCGAGGAGAAGCTACTCCTGTTGACAAAAGCTACGCCAGGAAGGGCACAGACTGATGATCAGTACAACACACGGTGAAGGCGTCATCTTTGAGAACTGCCATTTATCAAACAGCACAGTACTGAAACGGAGAACACGCATATGCCGGAGAATCTAAAGACGACAGGAGAAAACCTTAGCACGCTGCTTTCAGTCGTTAGACAAAAGTAAGGATGTAGATTATCTCAGGGATTCATTGAGAAGGCTGAATGAGCTAGGTATTAAAGCTCATGGGCCAAGAACAAAGAGAACATATTTTTTTTTTTAGAGGAGCTGAACAGGGAGCCAAATGTGGGGCTCGATCTCAGGACCCTGAGATCATGACCTGAGCCAAAGGCAGACGCTTCACCGACTGAGCCACCCAGGCGCCCAAGATAAAATCTTTTGCCAACAAGCCACGGAACATTTAAAAAAGCCTGGGCATATACCAAAGCCACAGACAAGGTCCTGGTAAATCACAAAAGGCATAAATCACACAGGCCACATTCTTGGACCAGAAAGCAATAAGAGCAAATATTAGTAATGAAAGAACAAATACACAAGGTCTCCATCCCCCCCAAATTCCAAACACTTGGAAATTCAAGAAAATGCCCTCCTGGTGTCAGGTCAAAGAAAATTTTAAAACTGGAATTAACACAATTATTTAGAAAATAATCAGGAAGAACATATCAAAACAGATGGGATAAGGCTTGAATTCTATTTGGAGGAAAATCTGTAGCCTTCGTTATTCCATTACCAAAACCAAGGAGAAACAAATAAATGGACTGACCACTCAAATTAAGAATGCAGAAAAACTTTTAAAAGCCAATACAGGAAAAAAAGGAAAACATGAGAAAGGGATACAAGTACAGCCCTAGAAATGAATGGGTTAGGAAACAGGATGGCATTTGCAACTTAGGCGAGTTCTCTTTGTGTGAGGGTGACTATGGGGAGGGGGGAGAATCACATCAATAAAAAAAGCAGGTCAGCCCATCTCATCTGAGTCTGAGAGAGTACATAAATGCTCAGAATGTGGAATTGGAAAGAAAACATAAGCTGATCTTGTAAGAGATTCTTTTTTAAATGCAAGAACATAGGATTTATGACTGTGGGCTAATGAATACATAACCTTCCATAAGCATTGAATGATCAGGGGTGCCTGCGTGGCTCAGTAGGTTGGGCCTCTGCCTTCAGCTCGGGTTGTGATTTCAGGGTCCTGGGATCAAGCCCCATGTTGGGCTCTCTGCTCAGCAGGGAGCCTGCATCCCCCCACCCCCGCCTGCCTCTCAGCCTACTTGTCATCTCTCTCTCTCTATAAATAACTCTTAAAAAAATAATTGAATGATCAAAAACAGTTTCAAAGGATACTAGAAACACCAAAATGAGTAAAAGCTTTGAAAAATGAAAAATGACCCCCTTCCGAAAGGCACCGGACCCAGACGGTTGTATGGGCAAATTCGTCCAAACGCTCAACAAAAAAATACCTAGACACAAACTATACTAAGAGTTTAGAAACATGTGTTCAGTATCTCAGTTGATTATACAAAAGCCAGCATTACTCTGATCCTGATAATCTACTAAAGGTAACAACAGAAGAACCAAACCACAGTTCCGTGTGACTAGAAAACACGAAATACATCAATTCTTACCTGAGCAGGTTTTAGCTTGGAAGCAGTCATCACCTTTGATGATCTTGGGTCCCCATACACCAAGGCTGTCCCCAGCTCCTTCTGACCCCCAGTCCCTCCCCTCATGGCACCTAAAAGTGCACCCTTGGTACACCGCTGTCTGTCTTTGCTTCCAGCATCCCCCAGGCACCCTGCCCGCCGCACGAACAGTGGCCAGGAACTGCCAAACGCAGGGGTATTCTGCTCCTAATCCATTCCCTTGTTCTCACTTCAGTTTTGAGCTGTCAGCTGCTGGCTAATTACTCTCCATGTCAAAACAATTACTGGGAAAGAAAAGATGATTTCCCATCCAACCATGTCTCCCCAACCAGCAGTTCTCCCCTGCCCTTCTCTTGCTGTGTTTTCCCTCTACCAGTCCCAGGCACACTCAGAAAAGTGATGGGTGGAGAGCTGAACAGTTACGACTCACCCATGAGCATCCCTGATTATTTTTAGTCCCCTGGGCTCTCTCAGCTTACCAGGGGTTAGATGCAACACAGGTAAGGCCAGAAATGGGTGCTTTTGAAGCCTCCAGCCTCCAGGGGGTAGGGTTGGGATTCAAATAAAATTGGTCAAGGACTGCTCATAACCACGGGAACATAACTCAGTCTGGGGATACCCCCCCTCAAAAAAAGGAAAATGCCAAATTCAGCTGTTTTTAGGATAAGAAAAAGGGAACCAAAAGCTATTATGTTGTAACTTTCATAATTTCAAACACAAATATAAACACACATGCACACATTTCATTCCTCTTTGTGTGCAGTTAAACAGAGAGAGAGGGCTTGAGAGAGGAGTCACGAGAGGAGAGGACAGGTATGGGGGTAGAAAGGGAAAGAAGGAGGTCTTCCGGGGGCAGAGGGAGAGCATGTGAGTAAAAACAGGAAAGGAGCATATCAAGAGTTGTCAGGAAAGGCCATGCAACGGAGAAGACCCAGCAACGCCTACTGCCCAGAATTCACACTCCCAGGAGCTCTGCTTCCCCTCCAGCTACAGCCCCCCAGTTGAGAAAGCTCCGTCCTCCATACCCCACTGTCCACACTTCCATTCCTTAAGAGGCTCCAAGAGTAGACTTGTTCTCTCAAACAAGAAAACCAGCCCTGGAGATGGCCCCCTTTCCGCCTCCTTTAGGTCTGGTGCAATCTCTCTTTTTTTCTGGAATAAACACATACTCTCTTTCCTCAAACTGAAAAGGCCCGGGAGCCCCGAAGCCTTGCCCCTAAAACCCATCCTCTCCTCCAATTCACACAGTCAACGTGGTGGAACGCAGCGTTTCCCCGGGGCGTGCGACACACGACACAAATACGGCATGATGTCTATTCCACGTGCGAAGCAGTGAAGGTAGATGTCAAGTCTTAGGATCCAAAGACTTTGGGACAAGTGCTCCCATTATTCAGATAAAATTGCTTTATTATAGGGAGGCCTTTCTACATACAGGCACACCTCAGAGATACTACACATTGGGATCCAGACTAACAAAGCAAACATCACAAGAAGGAGAGTCAGACTAAAGTTTTGATTTCTCAGTTCACATAGAAGTTATGTTTACGCTATACTCTATCAAGTGTGCAGTTACATTGTGTCTAAAATACGTGCATACTTAATTTAAAAATCCTTTATTGCTAAAAACAACCCAAACCAAACTATTAGCCATCGTCGGAGGCCTCCTCTTTTTGCTGCTGGAGGGCCTT